TTCATATTATTCAAAGAGAAAATGAGAGAGATGATGATTCTGAGGCCACCCTATCCCAGCCATATTATTCACATATCGAGTCCCAACAGCAACAGTGTAGGGATGAACGCGAAATACTGTAAATTAAATGCTGAATGGCGGTTCATGCAGGGAAAAAACATATCAATATTCGCATATTCATTCAAAAACATGAAAATTCTTAATGGAGTACCCTCATTTTTTATTGAATTTCTAAAAAACAATATTTATAATGAATTTTAATAATTTTTTCGAATTTTTTTTAAACTTTATTCTGACCGATTCACTCGATTCTTGATCCGGATCACCGATTCGTCGATCCGAATCGATTTTTTGGAAACCCTATCCGGGTCACCGATCCGTTTTTTAAACCATTGGTTACAACCATTTAAAATTAGACATAACTGCAAAGAGACAATTCTTGCAACGCATCCCCACCCCTTATAAGAAGGGCATCCATTTGCCATGTGCGGCGCTCTAGAAACTCCTCCGTAAATGTCACCTACCCCACGTTCTCTTTAGGGGTAGGGTCTCTTTTTATTATTGCGACATCGTGCTGACCTCTTAGATGCAGCTTAATAACGTAGACTAGATAATGAGTTTCATGGCCTAGCCAATCATCAACAAAACCTTGAAACGACATGTTCTGCAATCGCCATACCAGATGTTAGTTTAGGCGATTCAATCCCAAACAAATTCACCAAACCAGGAATGCCATGAAATCCTCCCCCTGCATGGATGTCCAATAACACGTAAAGTATAACTGATAAGTATAAATAACTAATAAGTATAAAATAATTTTTTTGCTACACATATAGACAAGAATATTTACTTGTTGGGAAAGCACATTATAAACCAGCAGCATATGGTAAATCTGTTGGGTTCATGTGGCATTTAAAAGCCTTATTAGTGCTTGTAAAATGAAATGATATAGTGAAACATGAACTCAATGGGAGTGTGGTCCATTGTGGACCATACTAAACAAACGATGTTTACAGATATCGAACTGTGTTTGACGATCTAGGCAAGTCGGTTGGGAAAAACCCATATTACCTGGGCATAAAGAACAAACTTAGAAGGGTTCTAATGGGTTAGCCCTTGATGAGGTCGGAGAACATACCCAGATGAGTAAGCCGAGGGACTGTGTGACCCTTGTGTGTAATGGTGGCTTACAGAGACAGGGGCCAAAACCTCATCCATGTACCATCACACGGCATGCATATCGATAAATCCACCTTTTAGGGTGAAGCGTCTGCATGTACGAGAGATACTTCTATGCGCCATAGAGCTGTGGTCGCATAAGGTCTTGGTGCTTTGACTTATCCCTAAGGAAAGACCTGAGATCCACAGATAGGGATTGCGATCCCTTGGCTCATCGGCCGGACTTTGGTGACCCGCTAATGAGCCCCTACTTGGACTATGAGTCATGAGAAACACTGGGTCAGCTTGATAAAGCAAGTGTGGTCTGTAGTCCACAGTTGAAGGTAGAGTGCCCCATGATTGTTGATTCCATATGGATCCTTTTTCCCATCAAATTAATTTAATTATGTTTGTTTTATGATGGAAATTATTTTAAGATTATTATTTGAATTTTTATGAAATCTTGGATATTTTATTTATAATTTTTGGATTTATAAAATTAAAGATATTGATTTTACAATTGTTTAAATATTTAAATAGTATTTTAAAATCCTTTTATTAATTTTAAATATATAAAAATATCATGGGGGCCCATTGTGCACATAGACCCGCCATATTTTTAGAAGATGGGGCCCATAAGTGTCTCCCTTGGGTGGCATGCCCCACCCTTATTCTCTTTCCTATTTTTTGGTGATATAGCATGTGGCCATATGGTTGGAA